ACTTTTCTGCGAAGTAACGTAATGCACGCGTCATGGTCGGATGGTATACAATCAAGATTTAACTATAAAATCGGCGACAAAAAGAAAAAGATACACTCCAAGTAGGAGAGCCGGGATAGCGACTGAACGACCGTTGGATTGGAGTTCGAGTCCCCGCAAAGGCAATATTTTTCTTCTTCTTTTTTACGTCGTCCAGACCGGCTCCAGGGCACATACAATCTCGTATCCAATTGGTACCGGGGGTAGAGCGACCGGGGCGTGAAACTGACCACTCACCAACTAGTGCCGAGGTCGAGAATACGTGGATCTATATATCCACTCCCCCATACGCCTTCGGGGCGTAGTGAGCACAGGGACAATTCTACAATGTTTACCCTCATAACTGAATTACAAATTCGCTTTTGTCAGAAACAGTTTTACCCCCCTCTCCTGATTTCCTCGCTGGAAAAAAAAAAAGAGGTCGCCTTATATGTGGGCGTGTATGGTGAGCGTAATTCTTCATATTGTGACAGGCAACGACTCGGTAAACACATTCCCGTGGGACCAAATGCGCGCAATTGAAAGTCCATTTCTAGGCAACGGATCAGTAAACAAGCCTTCTCAACAATTTAATCTGTTTTCTGCGTGGTCCGTGCCGAGGGGTTATAAAGGAACAAAGGTTGTCTGAGTTGTTTACCCGTGTGCAGGCGGGGTCGAATACCTCCAACGTGACCCTGCGAGTCGTAGGAGGCGACGAAAAGGGAAGTCTCAAATCTGAGACAGTAAAATATGGTAGCGAGTCCCAAGGGATTCGGACCCGAGAAAGACTGCGCTGGCAAGGACCAGCAGTATATACAAAAGACAGACAAGTCCTCTCGTCAAAAAGGGTTCTCTACAAAAAACAAGACCTTACCTGTCAAACAGCCATAAATGCCTGGTCATGAGCCCTGGATGTGACCGGACACCAAGACTTACTGACCGTCAGTCGCAATGTGACTTTGACTTTTGTCTGAGTTGTCAGAAACTTGATCTCTATCATTAAGGGAGGAACACAGACTGAGGGTGTTTGAGAACAGGGTACTGAGGAGATTATTTGGACCGAAGAGAGATGAAGTGACGGCAGGTTGGAGAAAACTGCATAATGAGGAGCTTCATAACTTGTACTCTTCTCCAAGTATAATTAGAATGATCAAGTCAAGGAAGAGGAGGTGGGAAGGGCATGTAGCACACATGGTGAGAAAGAAATTTATATAGTATTTTGGTGGGAAAGCCAGAAGGAAAGAGACTACCAGTAAGTTCTAGACGTAAGTGGGAGGATAATATTAAAATAGATCTTAAGAGAGATAGGATGGTGATAATGGGCAGACTATGGAGAAAACTTAAGAGGATTCACCGTGTGAGTGGTTAAACATGAAGTGTACCATCACTCATTGATAAACAGTGCGAAATGTTACTACCTCGCATTCGAAACACGTGCAAATGTTTGCACATGCGCAATGCTGCATCGCATCCAGTGAGCCACCTAGACATCAACAACAGAACGTCACCTACGCCAGATCAGTTCTTGTGTAATTCAGAAACCTTCTGCCTGCTACAATGCCTCCTTGCTCAATCCCTGTCTTCCGTCTTAACCAGTCTACGTACCTCAGAAGCGTTAAGAGCTAAAGTGACTTATGGATCAGTCTGAGACGTCACTACACTGCCTACACGCCCCAGTATCTCGTCTTAAGAGAGTTAAATTAACGCATTCTGAAGAACTCACTCACTCACTCACTCACTCAAGGGGTTGAGCCCTTCTTGAGAAGCTGCAAATTGTGCAACTTCTCAAGAACTTCCCAACATTTTATGGCCCCGAAAGTTCATTACCGTTCACACAACAGCTCTCCACTGATCCCTATCCTGACCTACATGAATCCAACCCATCCCATGTGTCTAAGATCCGTTTTAATATTGTCCGCTCATCTACGTCTTGCTCTTCCTAGTGGTCTCTTTCCTTCTGGCTTCCCCAGCGCCACTTTGTCTACCACAAATCCCACTTGACCAGCCCCGGTATCGAACCCGGGCCGCCGTGGTGGGAAGCCACCGACTAACCATTTGAGCTATGGTGCGGCGTAAGTGCTTGACTTACTTTTTAACCCTGAAGATGGAGGCAATATTTTACTCCGAAACGTCAATCTCCCTCACCGAAGAACATGGCATTACAACCAAGCAGATCGCACTCGTCAACTTAAGAACCAGATGAGGTAGCAATTTAAATAAAAGCCAACACAGCTATCGGCGTTGCCATGTGAGGAGCACATACGCCACTCTTTCATACAACTTCTGCAATCTTATCCAACTTAATGCCTGACCACGTGTAACATTAGGCTCCATGTGTTGGGGAACGGGATTTGAATGAAAAGGTCAAACATTCTATCCGCTAATAAAGGGAAATATATTCAATATCTGTGAAGAAATAAACTAACAAAAACTTCCTCTCACAGAAACGATCTTTAAAAAAGGAAAAGGTTTTAAAGACGTGGGCTTAGCGTCAACATGCAAAGTAGCAAGGTACAGAAGAGCTTGTTCCTTGCTTGTATCGTATTCAGAAATACATCACCGTGTCTCAGAAGCGTGCTGCAGAGCAAGGAACAAGGCAACACTTCTTGCGGTAAGCTGGATAACAACTTACAGATAGGCCATAAGCACAATTGGATAAATTATCGACAGAGACGACGTAACAAACTTGCGGTGTAGGAGCTCTCTTAAAGTTTACGCTCAGATGGTGAAGAAAACTTGCATTTTTATGGAACCCCACAGTTCAAAACAAACGGCCGCTAAGAGAATCTATTCAAAGCCACATGAATCCATCGTACACCTCTAAACCTGTTTAAAGACTGGATTTCAGTCAAGAGTCACTTCACGACTGACGGTTTACCGTCTTGGCGACAAGCCCCTTGAGACTCACGACCAGAATTTTTATTTTCCAACTGAACACTTGCGATTATATTCCTTATGTAATATCCTCATTTGCGAGACGATTGGTCTGTACTTTACAATTGATGCTGGTCCTCGCCAGCGCAGTCATTCTCAGGTTTTACTGTCTCAGATTCGAGACTACCCCAAACTGAAGGGCCAGGTTCCCTGTATTTATATCCCCCCAGGAGCAGGGTGGCAAAGTTATACCTCCAGGCACTGAATTCACTTTTCGTCGCCTCTTACGACTCGCGCGCTACGGTGGAGGTATTCTAACCTGCCTCCACACAGAAGTCTCAGGCTGGATTTCTTCTAAATAACAGGCTATATATGAATTCAGTCCGTACCTCACAGGAAACACATTATGTGTCCGCTACAGAGCCCAACCGGTTAATGCTGTTTACGGAAACAGTCGCTGTTTATCGTGAGAACCATACGGAACACATAAATACACTCTGTGGGCGGAGTTTTAGTATGTTACAGCAGGTGGTATGCTGGTATATAGTAACCACCGGGTTTTAAAGGGTTAAGTTAAAGTTGTAAATTTGCCAACCTGTTTAATTAAGCACCAGACCATCAAGACGGATGGGAAAATGAAGATGTAACGCCCTCGTTGTTACTTTCTCATTAGTTAAAGATCAGCTTCACGCCCCGGCAAATTTACCAGCAGGTAAAGTGCCCCCAGCCGGTCACGGTAGCCGAGCGGTCTAAGGCATGTACTGTCTTCGCTCGTTTGGAAACCGGGATCGTGGGTTCGAACCCCACTCAGGGCATGGATGTTTAGTTTGTGTGTGTGCGTTTTTCTGTGTTTGTGTACAGGTAGAGGCCTCGCGACGAGCTGATCACCCGCCCAAGGAGTCCTACCGAATGTATAAGCTCTAGAAAAACCGAAGTGAACGGAGAAGTTCATGGAGGTAGGCCTAGGCCCACTGGGGCTGTAGTGCCAAGAAAAAAAAAAGTGCCCCCAGTACCCATTGGATTGGAAGCTGGGTGAGCCTCAGAGCCAGTCTGGACGCGGTGATGAAGAATGCCTTTCCCCTGCCAGCAATGGAACCCAGATTCCACGGTCGTTTAGCACGTAGCATATTCATTATACTGGCTGCGTAATCTGACTCCCCCTATTCTCAATGCCCCCTCCCAATCGTGTTGCTACTCTGTTCACATGAATGTTGGTAGTCATAACCATCTTCGTCTATATCTCTCAAATTGTCTCTTTCCTTCTGGTTCTCCGATTCTGCCTAGTGCCGAGGTCAAGAATGATGGAGCTAGACCTCCACACTCCCCCACATATCTTCATGGTAAAAGGTAAAGTTGTCCTTGTGCTTAACTAATTAAGTACTACGCCATGAAGGCGTATGGAGGAGTGGATGTATAGACCCGCATTTTCTTGACCTCGGCACTAGCTGCAGGTGAGCGGTCAGCTTTACGCCCCGGCCGCTTTAACTCCGGGGAACCCATTGGACAGGAGATTGATGGACCCCAGAGCCGGTCTGGACAATGTAGAGAAGAGAAAATTCTTGACCCTACCGGGACTCGAAAGCCAACCCTTTGGTCGTCCAGCCCGTAGCCAGTCGCTGTACCGACTGAGCTATCCCGGCTCCTTATCTTCATGTTGTGGTGCTTAATTAATTAAGTACTTTACGTTTATGACCTACAAGGAAATAATTTCAGACCCCATGCAGTGCTGATAATTAACAGTGTAATTAGTTTATGCTAAGGGAATTAACAGACCTGTTTCCGCAGTAAACAAACATGAACGTCAATGGGAAATTATTAATCGCATTGGAAAGCTTCCAGAAGAGTGCAGCTTCCCATACCGGCTTTGGAGGCACTGAAGCCATAACCACAGAGCTACATCAATTTGCTTTCGTTTGAGAGCAAACCCGAAGGGAATGTAATATTGACAACTGCCTTAAATTTACTGACTGCGCCTCCAGAGAGTGGCTCTACAAATCCGAATGCAAGTGTGGGCTGCACTGTCATAGAGGCAGAGCCCGTACTGCCAGCCAAATGGCCAACATGTCTGCCCGCTTCGCTTGCTTGAAAATCACATCTGTGGAACTTACCGAAGTCACTGGTACAGTACAGTCTGATCATCTCCTCAGGGGAACACGGCCGACAGTCTGTAACGAGAGAACAGTAACAACAATAACAGAAAAAACAACAATGAAGATAACATCTACGTAGGAGTTTGTGACGATATTATACAGGGTGTTTCACGACTTTAGGGCATAACTGCAGTAGGTGATTTCCTAGGTCTTTGTGATCAAAAAAGTTCATATAAACATGTCCGATTTTGGACGGTTACGGAGTCATGACCGTTTTAAACTCAGAATAGAAGGTAACGATTACTGACAATAAACGGAACAAAATAATAAACCAGCACAATACATGATACATTTAAAGTATGAATGTAAAGTTAACTTTGTGAAATTACCTTTAATTTGAATTTATTGGTGCTTAAAGCTGATTTTCGAAAATGTCACCGCCGGCCGCAACACAGGCTGCCGCTCGGTTGTGAACCGCGCCTGACATACCAACCCACCACGCCTTAGGTACCTCTCAAGTGTCGAGATAACGAGAACGCTCTGTCTGTAGCTGGCTAAAAATAGCGACCCGCCAGCTGACAGACGCGGTTCATACGAGGGCGTGTACGGGAATGAAAAAACGGTCATAACTCCGTAACCGTCCAAAATCGGACACATGTTTATATGAACTTTTTTGATCACAAAGACCTAGGAAATCACCTCCTGCAGTTATGCCATAAAGTCGTGAAACTCCCTGTATTAATATATCTTGACTGAATCAAGAAGAATGAGATTAGAGGACATGTATCACATATGGGAGAGACAAGAAATGTATTGTGATATGACGCCTGAAATCCGGAATAATCCATTACTAAGCAACGGTTCATTAAGCACGTTCCCACTGAAACGGATGCGCTCGTAAAATTCAAAGCGTTGCCACGGGATTGACACACACGTTTCGTGGCAACGGATAAAATAGAGTAATACAAAAAAAAAACTGTTTGAAGTAGTGATTTCTCTTCTGAGTTATATATCAGAGTTCGTAAGACAGCCGTCGGTCAGGGCAGTCGCAGAAGAAAGGAGAACCAACTCTTTATCAACTTTTTCTCCTCGTTCTGCTTTTCTTTCTTCGACTTTGTCTTTCCATTCTTTAATCTGTTACTTCCCTTTTATGTCTTCCTCCTCTTCTTTCCGTCCTTTTATTCCCACTCTTTCATTTTTCTTCCTCCTCTTTCTACCCCTCTTCATTTTCGCCTCGTCCTCATTCTCCCTTGTCCTCTTCCTTCTGTTCCTTCTATTTTATCTCATCTTCCTCAATCCCCGTTTCCCCTACCCTTTTCACAAACGTTTCTATACTATTATTACCCTTCCAGTCTATCTTGCTGCTCACTGTACCAAATATTTATACGGCCGACGGACAGCACATACCGGCGCACCTAATATTGACAGACTATGGGCAGGTTACCGCAGAAGGCTCTGGCTACTAAATTTGCACAGGGAAGTCCCAGCTGTTTACCGACTGGCCTCAGTTCAGTACACCCGTCTCAGAGCGAGTCTGTTTGTATAATTCCAAACAAGATGACGTATTCACAAAATGATAAAATAAATGTAACATAAAATTAAAGCCATGACTACAAAAACTAACTGCAGTAGTCAACAAGAAAGTCATGCTTACATTAAAAGCTGTAATCGTAGATAATGGATTTTAAAGTGTAGAACATTTTGAGCCAGAGTATACATTCCTGGTATGCTCATCACCTTGGCTACCAAGAAAACACTAATGGAAATATCTGCTGTACTGGACGCAGTGAAACTCTTTCATTAACTTATCCATGCTAAAAATGTAATTGAACTTGTACCGCTGAGCACCCCTTTCAGACTCCGAACTCACAGCTGCATGGGTCAGGACATCAGAGGAAAAGAAAGAAAGAAAGGTAAGTTTGTTATTTAACGATAAAATTTAGCGTCGATAATAAGATGATTAATGAATGTAGAGCAGTTGGTGAAACGAGAATTGGCAGGGGAAACCGAAGTAATGGAGAAAGACCCGCCTCAGCGCCCCTCGGTCCATCACAAATACCACACGACCTGACCTGGGATCGAACCCGGACCGCACTGCATGAGATAGAAGAGTGGGAAGAGCAAAAAGTGAGAGAGAATGAGGAGCAAAGAAGAAGGCTTGAAAGAAGGGGAAGAGGAAGGAGGAATAAAGGAAAAAAGACGAAAAAGGGAAGAAATATAAAAGGACGAGGAAGAATGCAAAGAATAGAAAGCTGTAAAAAAGGAGAAAGAGATTAAGAAGTAGAAGTCGAAAAAAAGGAAGAAGAAAACGGTGAAACGAGAACAAGAAGAGAATATGGCGGAAGCGGAAAGAAAGGTGTGAACAGAAGGAAAAGGTGGACGACGATATACAGAAGAGATAGAGACAAAGGAGAGAGTAGCAGAAAAAGGAAGTAAAGAAGACAGTGGAATAGGACAAGCAAAGAAGAAACATGAGGGAGAAAGTGAAAGAGGAAAAGTAGAAACAAGAGAACTGCGAGGAAGGAAGATAAAGCAGAGGAGTGTTTCTCCGGATTCCTTGCGTCTGAAATTGGCATTTGTGGAGGTCCTGGTTCGGTGATTCATTACGTATCCTGACTTTTGTACAGAAATACACACAGATCAATGTACACTGGATCTGAGGTTTCCACGACGGCGACTACAGTATGGGATGTGACATCGTCTAGTCTGGTATCAGTTTGCCACGTTTCAGATAAACGTATTGACTCCATCATCGTTGAAGAGTGAGCAAATCCAGCAATAACAAAAATGAGCAGCTTGCTTCGAACCCTGAAGATGGATGCAGAACTTTTCTCCGAAACGTAGGCAAATTTCTACCAGACTACACAGCATCTCTTCCCAGAAGACAGAATTTATCACTACAATGTATAATTCCTGCATAAGCATCTTCCTGAAAAGCTGATGGTCGGAGGTAAGAAATTCCCAGGGCGGTTTGCAGAAACCAGAATCAGACAGCTCATTAAGTTTCAGCATCCCCTCAGAAAATGCTGACACTTGGCTCCGATGTGGCTGAGAAACCGAGTTCTCAACAATCTTTTCTCAAGCGGAGATGGAAAAATAAATCATCACTGACAGAAGATGAAAACAATTCAGTGCATGGTCTGAGAGATTCTGTGAACAGGGTAACAATACGCAGGCCCTGAGGTCCTCAAAGCGGATCCCTGTGACGGGCCATGGAGACCCATAGGGTTATGAGACGTCGAGGCTGCCATATTATCTGGACAATCGGCTCAGAGATGGCAGTGAGGTTGTCAGCCTTACGCACCGGCCTCTCTCTACCTCCCAAGGAAGATTCCTGGTACTCATTTGTTTTAGAGACTGAGACCACCCCAGGGCCATAGTGCGGATGGAAGGAGTAGGTCAATTGAAAAAAAAAATTCAATGACCTCATCGGGACTTGAACCCGCGACCTTCCGGCTTGTAGCATAGCTACAACCAACTGCGATACCGCGTGCCCTTCTCACAGCGGTAGTTATACATTGTACTCGGTATATTTTTAAATATTTTCTACGTATTTCACATATCTAAAATGCAAAGAGTATCAGAATGACTTATACAGCTGGTAATAGCCAGTTAGGCCGAAACATGCAGTGTTCCAGTAATAATAATAGACGAATGCTTCTAAAATGTGTATTTTAGTACATGGACGAAGTTGCACGGGGACGGTGAGAAGCACGAATGCTAATTTAGCTTACATTTGTGTCTGAAACACATTCACCACGTCATGTGACCTCGGGTTTCTACTGTCAGTGAAACAAAACACTGCTATCGACCACGCAATTTCATCCACGATCACATAGTTCAGTGACCAGGCTCTACAGCTAACGGGTTTTTGCCATAAAGCAAGTATTAAACTAGGTCCTGGTGCCAAGAGTCTGGAAAGGTCATAACAGCAATGAATATTTTGGCTTATTCCCCTCGAGAACGGCGGATAATAATTCGAACCGTGATCTCCCTCCCACCTCTTAATTGAACGATTCTTGAAAAACAAAAAATTCAAAAGATAAAACAAACAGCCGCATAATAATGAGCGCCATATTCCAGAATATTATTAATCGCTGAATAAATATGATTTACTATAGCTTTCGTGTGGCGGCTTGGATTAATTTGTGCTGCTATAACACGATCACCAGAGATCAGTGGCGGCTTCGGTGCTCTTGCAACACTTATCCAGGGTAAAGTAAATTTGTGGTCGCGCCATAGCTCAAGCGGTTAGTCGCGGCTTCCCACCGCGGCGGCCCGGGTTTGATCCCGGGTCTGGTCAAGTGGGATTTGTGGTGGACAAAGTGGCGCTGGGGCAGGTTTTCTCCGAGTACTTCGGTTTCCCTGACAATCTTCATTCCACCAATTGCTCCACAATCACCCTCACCTATCATCTGGGGCTGGTACAATAGGCCAGAAGTGGCCGCAGTACAAGGGACTTAGTCCCACCCCACTAGCAATAAAAAAAAGGGTAAATTTGTCCCTGTGCTTAAAGAATTATGCATTAACCCAAGAATGCGTATGGGAGAGTGGGTGTGTAGATTCACATTTTCTTCACGAGTATCACGACCCGGCTGCTTTACCCCCGGTATTTACTGAATACGAGGTTGGGTTGGCCCCAGAGCCGGTTTGAACGCTGTGGAATAGAGAAAAATGTTACCCTTTCCGGGATTTGAACACTTTAGGTCTATCCCGTGGCCCATCGCTATATCGACTGAGCTATCGCGGCCCTCTACATGCAGTAAGACCTATCACATTTTGAGAAGTTACTGTTTTACGGCCAAAATTTTGTTTCTGCCGTTTTTCGTTTCATTTTGGTGTTTAAACAGTTTGTAACAAATGCTACTTGAGGACCGACTCTGTGGTCTAGTGGTCAGAGTTCCTGGCTACAGATCCTGAGGTCCGGGTTCGATTTCCGGCGCTACCAGATTTTTTTCTGAGAAGTAGTGGGTCTGGAACGGGGTCCATTCAGCCTAGTGAGGATAACTGAGGAGCTATTTCAAGGAAATAGCGATTCGGGTCTAGAAAACAGAAATTAACGGCCGTGAGGATTC